TTTGTCTTCCACCATGGAAAGACACTGTAATTACAATAAATAAGCGCTATTTTTTTGTAGTTTTTTATATTTTTTTCAGTATTGAGTAATTCTTGCAGGAAAATACAAAAAAATGCTGTAAGTTTAGATACTGACAGATTACGTTAACATTAAAAGAGTGGTAATAGGTAAACGTCATTAAATATTTGATTCACACGCAATGTCTCAATAATTTTATTATCTGTCTATTCTTATTTCCCAATATGTCTTTTACCAGTATAAATCTGGTATCTTTTACGGGTGGTGTACGTATGCGTCGTTGTATTATTCGACATTACTCAACTCTGCTAGTGCAACAGAGTAACGACATTCGACAAAAAACGTTCTTATCTCTTGCTGAAATGCGAAGAAAAACTTGCCTCAACTGGATCAGATAAACATGTTTGTCAGAAAAGCGAGCAGTAGATCTTCGCTATGTTGTTTGTGCGTTTGATTCCTCGATTTTTATTAAGGCGTGTAATTTATAAAAATGTGTAATTGTAAACGTTTTAATTTAGACTGATATAGTGAACTACGTAAAGTTAATTAGTTAAGGTGAATATGGCACACAACGTATTACAAAAAACAAATACTGGGCTGATGAAAAGGTAAGAACTTACAGTAGATATGTGTAGTTAATATGATAAAAGAATGTACGAGTTCTCTACAAAATCGCGAAATGTTTGATATTTTTTTAATGCAGTTAAATCTACTAGTCGGGATTCCCCGATAAGCATAAGCAGGCCTGACGCTGGAAGCTGGCGGAAATTTTAAAATGGCGTGAATGCGCGGTGGCAAAAGTAGGCAGTTTTAGGTATAACGATTGCAGCCCTCTTTCTTCAGTATCCCTATCAGGGGCTTAGATTAAATATTTAAAAATAGGGATCAGTGAGCAAGTGATAGACATACAACCAAAAGAACTAATTGTTGATGGTGACAATGATAAAGATTTCCATGATGATAGTGAATGTGAGAACTAACTATAAAACAAAAGTAATAGGTTTATTTTTTCTTTTTGGTAAGTTATGTTTCTACATTATTTTCTAGTACGCTACTGCCCTATCTGTATTAATACTATAATTTACGCCTACTGAAAGCTTATTTGTGTATCGGTTCCAAGTGACTTACACAAATAGGTCATAAATGGGCAAGTACCTGCGCGACCGCTCGCCGGCTTCCTTCGTCCGGCCTATACAATCTTCTAGTAACTTCTTTTTTCGATTTTTTTAATGTTTTAATCCCTACAACCTCTGCTTGACAATGTTTAGATGTGATAAATTAACGATTAAATGTGTTAACGTTTGAACATCACGTAAATATGAAATTGTATTATATTACTTTTGACCTGATCAGTTGTTTCTTTAAAGTTGTTAAATACCTACTGCAAAAAAATAAACGTTTAACGCATCTTATTTATTCTGACGGCAAGTGATAGGTTATTAAGATTTGTTATTATTAATTTTCATTCACTGCCTAATATAAGAATATAATTCCGTTCAAACTCAGGTAAGAGACAATCTTGTTGGCAATTTCTTCATCAACATTTCGCCACAATTTGAATACTTTTACATATAAATATTCAAAACATTCCTTGAAAATGCACCATATTACTTTTAATTTGCATTCAAACGACAAAATCTGTAAAATATTCGATGAATATGTTACCAGAAACTACGCGCAGATATAATATAGGGTTGTTCGGAAAGTCATTTCGTTTTTCTTTTGTGGAAATGAAAGACAGTTTTCGTATAATAAACAAATACTTTATTAAATTATATATTGACCGTTCTGGTCCAACACCTTTTGCCATCTTTCTGGTAGTAGCATAATTCCACGCTCATAAAATTTTTGGTCTTTGCTGGCAAAAAACTGATCGAGGAGGTTTTTGACCTCCTCATTTGAGGTGAAGGTTTTACCGTCTAAAAAATTTTGGAGTGACCGAAACAAATAATAATCTGATGGTGCCAGGTCTGGAGAATATGGTGGGTGTAGCATTGTATCCCATTCAAGCTGTAAAAGCTTTTGGCGAGTGACCAAACTTGTGTGAGGTCTCGCGTTGTCTTGGTGAAACACTACACCTTTCCTGTTGATTAGTTCTGACCTTTTCTGTTGAAGTGCATCAATCAGTTTGTCTAGCTGATGACAGTAGACTTCCGAATTAATCGTTGTGTTATCCGGTAAAAGCTCAAAATAAACGATTCCTTTAAAATCCCACCAAACAGACAGCATCACCTTTTTTTGGTGAATAAATGGTTTGAGCCGGTTCATCTTTTTTGCTCCATGACCTCTTGCGTTTGACGTTGTTGTATACAACCCATTTTTCGTCCCCAGTGATGATGCGCTTCAAAAACGGAACAGCATTTTTACCCTTTCTGTAGTAAAACAGTAAGATATGTTGAAAATGCTGCTTATCGCTCTCTATATTTAAAAGGGCACACAAGCCTTGCTATATGAGCTCTCAAAGCATATAAACATTATACGGCTTAAATGTGAAGTTGGGTGCAGAAGAATACAATTAAATCCTCTGTCGGGAAAAAACGAAATGACTTTCCGAACAACCCGATACATCTCTTTGTGGAAAAGATAATTATCTGGTAGTATTATATATCAGGTGCTATACAGTCAGTTATGAATTATGTACATACGTTTACATATTTGATTTATTTTTTCTATGAAAAGTGCTCCACTTTTTTCCGCTGACGTTGAAATAAGTCAATGTCAGAAGTTCTTGTGAAATTATTAAAACTTGATAGAGTAGATACCGTAACGTAAGGCGTTGTTGTTGCAGTTGTCCTACATTAGTTTATGAGCTTCAACTTATTTGTATATGTATAATAATTGACTAATATTCAGGGCCTATTATAACAGTACATTTTTATAATATCATATTGGAAATTGCATTTAGACAGCAGTCGTATAAACACTTTACATACAATAAGTTGTATTTCTTGTGTGCCAAAGCAAATACGTGGCTAGAGATAGTTCAGGATGTCATGAACCTTGACCGTGGATACGTAGTGACTAAACTCTGTCCGCTAACTGATTTCTACATTCTCACTTCCTCAAAACCATATCACAGTTTATCTGGAACTATATCACTGGTTACATATATGTATAGCGAGGCACAGGGTTAACCAGTAAGTCAATGTTTTCATAATGTACGAAATGAATGTAATAAGATTCACTTCTCTCGCATGTGAAGACTCATGAGATTATGAACTAGCTATAACAGTGGCGGTCATGTTTTTAAAAGATAGAAACGTATAAATCAATAAACGAATGGAGTTTCGTCGTCACGCAACTTTTAGCAAAAGTTCATGGAATTCTGAACTGCCTCTAACAGTCGAGCCAATGTTTTCCTAATGTACAGTATGAATGCAATAAACCTCGCCTTTCGTGCCTGGAAAGACCAATGAAATTTTTAGCTAGCTATACATTGCACTTTAAGACAACAATTTTAACCTTTGCTTAGGTTAAATTTTATTGTTTGAGATTTAGATCGAGGAATCTCATCAGCACACCATAAATTCAGGTTTTTTATATAATATGTTTTATACATACATAAACAGAATAAACAGCTTAATAATAATTGTAAAATTCATAATCCATAATATGGAATTTCACCAGATAAAGTAGATAATTCACCAATAACTAGAAAATTGCTTTATGTGACCAACGAATATAGTTTTGATGTAATAAGGAAAAACCTTCTTAAAAATATATGTTGTTAAACCATTTTTAGATGTACGCTGCTTCAAAAATTAAAAAAATTGGTTTTAACAAAATTGTTTCAAAATAAACTAATCTACTGTTTTGGTAGTTTTAATTGTTGTAATTAAGGTCACAGTAGCATTTGAGAGGGTAAAGTTGTCAGCGGGCACCTGTCTCTAATGTAACGGACACTCGTTTGTAATCTTGTTTTTTTGTTCGATAAAAGAATAATATAGAGCAGGAGGCCCCTGTCTTGGACGGACGCAGACGGCTTTAAAAGGATCACCGCAATAATAAATCTCTACTTAATACGCACCCTGTACTTCTAGAAATATGCGCGGTAGTTTAAGGACTTCCACGGAAGAAATGCAATAAACTGTGTCAATTTACTGTGAGATAAATATATCCAAAATAGAACATATTTTCACTAATTGGATTAATTTTACTTACGATTAAACAAAAGACTCATATAAATGTGCTTTTCTTTCGGTTTAAGCATAGGTAGAAGTTATATAATAAGTTACGATGTACGTACTTGATTGTCCATCATGCTTGTCAATTAATATTAATACTTTTATATAATACTCATTTTGATAACATTTTGCATACAGAAGACTGGCAAGTCACAAATCATGAATATGTAACTAATGATAACTGTTTAAAATTGTACATATGGTGTGATTTAAAAATCATTAGCCATTTACGTAAGACTATATTAATATTTTCTTGTATTCATAATATTGTAATAAGTTTCCGGTAACTATTTATTTATTTCAGCGGGAAATGTATGAGTACAAGTAATTTATTTTAATACACAATAAGAACAGTAACTAGGCCTTTACACTACTACTTATTTATGTAACACTTGATTTATATTTTATTTGCTGCCTTCGTCTGTCTATTATTATTAGTCACCTGTCTATATATGGTCATCGAACATTCTCGATTAATTCCTATTTTTTTTAAAGCTTTGCAAATTCTTTTCTTATGCGGTATTCATAATCTCAGCTGGCGGAAGTTCCGGTTTAAGCGCAAATTTTCAAACGATAGGAGAATATAAATACAAGAAAAATATTCTTACTTCCTTTTTATGTGCCGATTTTATATTTACGTGTATTTTCAAACACTACAATTGAACCCGTTCCATATTATTTATTAACAGTAACAATAAAACCGAATTGGTGAAAAATACATACAGGCTTTTTAACTGAAATTCTAATTTAGATTATTTCTTATGAAATGAATAACAAAAATTAAATAAATTGTATTACCTGCAAGATCTGTAAACAAAAAATCCCAGTATTGTTTTGCTGCTATAGTATTGTTGCTTGATGTCGCCATTTTGTCAACCAACGATAGGCAGTGACGACGAATCTAGAGGAATGCCATTCTGTAATGAAAAGAAAAAACGTTATCATTTTATTAATAATAATACGTGAAGATTGAAACCTCTTATACATGCTTTCGGTATTTATTATAAAAGAAGTGGAATGAAACTTAATAATCAATCGATACAAATCGTAACAGTAACCGTGATAACCTTCCAAACGACTGCAGGGTATTCATTTTTATGTTCGATCAAAAACCATTCAAGTTTGAAGCAGTTGATTCAAATTTTTGTTTTAAAAAGGATGATTCTTAATATTGATTCTGTAGTGAGTGGTTGTCCTGTAAATCCTTTGGAAAATATTCTTTCAAGGACTTTTCAAAGTTCAGTAGATGTTTATTTATGGTTTTACATACATCTGAGGTTACTTGAACTCATTTTCTTCGAAAAATCTATTTAGAACAATTGTATTCAATGTTAATGTAATACCAAATCTCCTATACTTTCATCTGGCATCTAGATAGGTACAATAAGCCATAAATGGGCAAGTACAGGCCGGACGAAGCAAGCTGGCGAGCGGTCGCGCAGGTACTTGCCCATTTATGACCTATTTGGGTAAGTCACTTGGAACCGAACACAAATAAGCATTCAGTAGGCGTAAATTATAGTATTAATACAGATAGGACAGTAGCATACTAGAAAATAATGTAGAAACATAACTTACCAAAAAGAAAAAATAAACCTATTGCTTTTGTTTTATAGTTAGTTTTCACATTCACTATCATCTTGGAAATCTCTATCACTGTCAGCAAAATCAACAATTAGTTCTTCTGTTTGTTTGTCTACTACTTGCTCACGGATCCCTATCTTTAAATATTTAATTTACGCCCCTGATAGGAATACTGAAGAAAGAGGGCTGCAATCGTTATACCTAAAACTGCCTACTTTTGCTACAGCGCATCCACGCCATTTTAAAATTTCCGCCAGTTTCCAGTGTCAGGCCTGTACCTGCGCGGCCGTTCGCCAGCTTCCTCCGTCCGACCTGTACATTTCTTTCTCAAAAATAGCAGTCCTGGTCCTTATCATAAAATGAATCGTTAGGATTCGATCTTTCATTAGTGATTTGGTCATGAAAACTAAGATGTTGTTATGGTTAAATAAAGACTAGTTGCTTTTCGCAGAATTTTGTATATTTTTATTAAAATAAAAAGCGCCGTAAATCGTTCACATAATACCAATATTACGTATTGTGATTTACAAATTAATACTTACAAAGGTTGTTATTACAATCATTGTTATGACGCCAGAAGTCCAAAATTTTTGACCAAGCTAATTAGATTTGAATAGACGGTCCCTCTGGCTTGTCATATGACGAGGAAACAGGAAATCTAAGAAATACCTGCATATTAAAATTCTTGACCTTTATAGTAAGACTGGCGACCTTATGATGATGATAGTAGTCCGAATGCTTAGCAAACAATGGGAAATAGAAAGATGGAAATCACTAATTTATGTAAAGCGTAGATAAATGCACAGGTAGACATTATTTTTTCAAAAACTGTGGTGGAAAAACGTCGCCAAATACGTACAGTGTGTCGCTCCCTAATCAAAAATTGCATAATTAATAGGTCAAGAAAATTGTTGCACTGTTTTATTAAAAATTTTCCTTAAATATGCTCTAGGTGAGGTAAACCAGTCGTCAAATTATAAAATGGACGTTATGAAAAATGTTTTATACCACGACTTATGTTAAAATACTTTCAGCAATACATCACAGAAAAGATGTGATCGTTTGCGTAATAATAATGACAAACTCGTGACATTACGCAGGTTTCAAGCCCATTAAAATTCCAGCACAATTTTTCTTGTTTAATTTTTATTATTTCAATTATTATTAAGCTAAAAGTATTTTATACTGAATTCTTTAATAGTGCATAAAGTATACGTTTATTTCATCACGTAAGTTAAACTAGAAAATTTACTTTAGAGTTCTACAAAGAATCAATAATATTAATATTTTCTTCAAGATTTTCTCGAATAAAACAACATAAACTCTGAGCCAACTGAAGTGGCGGCTCATGCAATAAAACTGTCAACAATAGACCACCTTTGCTCATGCCTAAGTGCAATTACTACTTTATGACACCATTCAAACGAAGCATATTCTATTATGTACCTGTGTCTACAAAGGTCAAGATAGTTTTAAAACTTTTAGAAGGGTATATTCAAACGAATTTCACTACTCTGTTTTATCATAATACTAGCGACCCGTCCCAGATTCGCACGGGTGCAATGATGATACTAAATAGACAATACAAACCGGCCCTCCGGCCGGTAACACCGCAACCGCCATGTCCCTGCATTTTAAATCTACAATCGCTTCGTAAATAAGTCATTATTTCTCATAAAAAGTAAAGGATAAAAATGGTTATTGTGGGTTATCCCTAAGAGATAGACATATACCATCGTGGACTTTTTTGTACACCCTTTTAAGATGTACAATATTGTAGTACATTATTTTGATCTATCTCGTAGGGTTCAGCCAGCGTTTGCAATGTAAGCGCAAGAAATGTGTTTATTTACGACATCACATTAGAAACCTCTAAAATTATCAGTGTTCCTCTACTATATGCATGTATTATACATATAAACTTTCCTCTTGAATCACTCTATCTATTAAAAAAACCGCATCAAAATCCGTTGCGTAGTTGTAAAGGTCTAACCATACATAGGGACAGACAGCGCGAAGAGACTTTGTTTTATACTGTGTAGTGATGAGAAATGCGCATTTTCAGTTGCAAAGATAAACTGTATAAGGGTTTTTGGCCCTTAACATTGTCACTAAATAAAATTCAGGTCGTCCTTATTTCTGCGGATGTTACTCATTCGACAAAATAAGCTGATAAACCTTCTGGAAGTTTGAGATGGCTCAGATTTTATCTCTAATGTCCTGCTCCAAACACATACCTTTAATAATATTTGTCGAATTTCTAAATTAACAGCTCGCGAGCGTAGAAGTGACCACGTTTCGTTAAATCCGACTCTACCCTACGCTATCTTTCTACTGCTACTTCCATGTTGAGTTATCTGACTTCCTAGATACTAAAAATCCGTCACTTTTTCTAATTTTTCATCTTCTATCCTTATGTTCATCTTTCCCCACATTATCTTCATTACCAAATGTATCGGGGATTGCAAAACAGCAACAGCGAAATATCGACTCTTAAGATAAATGAAAATTCGCTTCCATGACCTACGACTTAGTTTGTTCACGGTATACGGACGTGTAACATAATTAATGTACCGGCCGTTACGCGTAGCTCACATTGTTGAAATTTTGCTATAATTATATTATTATATATAAATTACGTGAATGAAATGATTATTGAAAGGTTACATAAGATGTTAATAAGACTTTGAGACTTGCCTTAACATAACACGAATTTATTAGAAAGAAAGAAAGTTATTGCGACATAATGTTATGTCTTAAGGCATGCATTTTTACAACTTAAACTACAAGGTTCCAACAAATTATAGTTCATTGCGTACAATAACAATGTTAGTAATACAGAACGTGACTTACACACGGCATATTATATTAAAAAAAAAAACTTTTGGGTAGGGCGGAAGGCCCTCTTCAGCCTGCTTTCAGGAATCGTGGAAATCGGTGGGTGGTTGTTCGGGCGAGAAAGATGAGACGGACGAAATGAAGACAGAAGAGAATGAAAGATTATCTGTGGAATATTACTGCCTCAGCATTTGCTTAAGTGATCCAAGGAAACCACAGAAAAACTTGGACCAAGGCAGCCGGACCCGTAATCGAACCGGCGTCCTCCCGAATGCTAAGCAATGGTCTAAACCTCTAGGCCATGCCGCGTGGCTACATATTATATTCTCTTCTGTATATAAACCGACATTTCGCTGGTTTCATTATGTACATCTTCATGTTAGTATACCTGCTGAGGAATTGGAATATAATATACGAGACATGACATCAAATGCAAATCTGCAGAAAGAATTCAAATGACTGGTCATTTAAAAAAATATGGTTTGAAATAAACTGTAATGCATATGTAAGGCACAAAATATAGTCGAATGCGGAGGAACAGTAACTAAATAAACACTTAAAACTCAAAATTCGACAAACGCTTAGTAAGCTTTTGTGTTTTAAGTGCATACATAATAATGATTTTAAATAAGTGTAAATTAAGGCCTTTTAGAGGATATTCCAGAGCGCCCGCACAATCCTGAAAAGATCGACATATATATAGAGATTGTAAAACATAAAAGAATTTTTTTTCGAGGTTTATCTTCATCAGGTGCTTGCGTTGATAGGTAGGCAGTAGCTCCAAGCCGCACTCTCTTACAAAGCCAGGAGGTAAGGCGGAAGACTTGGGAATTGTGGGAATAGACAGGATGAATGTGGTGGTTCGGAAGAGGATAATAAACCAAAGGAAGACATAAGCGGTGTGATAAATTGTCTATGGAATATAACTACCCCAACAGGGTTTCTTTGATCAAGGGTACCACAGAAAAATTTGAACCAGTGTTCGCGGACCCGGAGAAAAAAGGAATAATTTCCAACAATAAAATGGATTTTTATCCTGCCATAACGAGAGTGAAAGGGGTGACGAAATTCGGTTGCTAGATTCGACGGATGCTGTATAGGTACATATAAAACACGAACACATGTAATAGCTAATAATTCAATTAATAATCTTTTAAAGTACAAAACTTTGTTACTGTATTTGTTATAAACGGCATTACATTTTTCATTATCGACATTTTTTCTTTCTATGTAGCATGAGCGAAAGTGCATAATTTGGTACGTACAAAATCTTTTGAACAAAACGTAACACCCTGAAAGCTACTAGAAAAAATAGAAGAACAGGGGTAGCTTTGAAAGTCCATAAGAAATTGGCGAGATAGGTTAATAGGATACCTTGTCAGAAATTTAAAGACATTTTAAAAGCAAAAACAGGAGTTAAGAGGAGTAGAAGTAGACGTACTTAAATAATATTACTGTTTACAAATATAAAGGGCGAGGGATGTTGTAGTTTTAGGGAAATGCGAAGATGAGCTCAGAATAGGAAAAAAATGGAGGTGCGTGTCCAACCAGTCTTAGGACTAACGACCTTATGATGATGATGATAGGTTGTTCTAATAGTTTTAGAGAAATGTCAGGATATAAACTCAAGATGAAGAAGATGTGAAGATCTTCAACCAGTCTTCGGACTAAATAACGTAGGATGATGATGATGATGGTGGTATAAGCGAGACAATTTGCACTGTGTATTTACTAGAGTTGAATAAATTTTCCGCATTTGTATAAATGCAGTCGCCAATGATTATCGTGTGCGTAAGTTGTAACAGACGAGCAGTTTTCTCCAACGCTTCAATTACCGCATGTCTTGCAATGTCAGCAAGTTGACTTCGCGTGCAACATCTTTTAGGAAGCGGAAATAAATAAACATAATAAACAATAATAGAGTCAACCAATTGCGCAATTTATTTTGAAAATAACGGTAATAAAAGAAATATTAGTTGCAGTTATCGAAAAGATAATTATCGGTTGTAGGTATACAGCATGCTCGTTTCAAATCAGATGCTTGTTGTTTGTTTGAAATCAGGCCCCTTTACATAAAAAATTTTTTAAGTTTGTTATTGCATTCGGAATTTCTAGGGAGATTTTATTCAATAAAACTTCAGATTAACAGTACTATTGCATATTTCAGAAATGTACAATAAAAGTGTTGCTGTAAATGAACTAAAACTTTTCTTGGCATATTTATTCATACACATAGTTGAATAATCGTAAACAACTATCACGATTTTTAGACACCGTTTTTTACTAGGTTTATCACAGAAGAAGGTTTAGGCCTTTAGGTAAGGGAACTGTAAATTGTGTACAATATTATCTTAAAATAATTTATTTGACAATAACGAATATGCTATAAGTAATTTTGAAACTACCCGATATCTTAAATATTTATTAAAAAAGTAATTTTCTAATATCACGTTAAAAGTTTCTTATTTTATTTATTCATTCCCATAGCATCTAAGTACTTAAACAGCGAAGCTTTTCCAGTTTAAAGAAGTTACTTTCTCTTTAAGCAAGTATATTACAAAACCACTAAATTTTGTAATGTTTAAGGAAGCTGCATCAGATATGATTCCGACTAACTTGAATGAATTCAAGTCACGAAAATAAATATCAAACTAGTTCTGCAGCGCAAACAATGAACGTAATGCTTAAACTAAATCAAATCACTCAGTTGGCTTAAGTTTACACATTTTGAAATTCTTCAACTCGAATTAAACCATCTTTAAAAAATCGATGCAGCATCCTTCTTGGTTATGATCAAAATTAATCTTGGCCTTGCGGAAATGCAAGACTAAGACTAAGACCAATAGCGAGACTTTCTTTATACTAGTAAGACCAAGACCGAACGAATAAAACCAAGACTGAAACCACTTACTGATTAATCGAATCTTCCTCGTTAGCAGTCTCTCTATCTCTGTAAGTAGTAAGTAAGACGGAGAAACATGTCCACTAACACGTTCATTAGTCAAGACCAAAACTAAGACTGTCTTTATAATAGCAAGACCAAGACCGAATGAGCAAAACCAAGACTGAAACCACTGGGCAGATTAATCTAATCTTCCTCGTTATTACTCTCTCTATATCTGTAAGTAGTATGTAAGTGGAAGAGAGAAGACTCATTATACTAGCAAGACCAAAACCAAACGAATAACACCAAGACTAATGTCAAGACCGAACGAACAAGACCAAGACTAAGACCAAAATCGAATATGCAGGAGCAAGACCAAATACGCATGACTAAACGAAAAATTATTACTTCCCATGGATTTATGAGTTAAACTATTTGAAGCAATTTTACTATATTCCTTTCCTGAAACAAAGTTTGTTTTACTACATTTTAATATTGGATATAAAAAATAGAAACTAATCTATTGTTTGAAAAAAGGGATCTACAAAAATCTCCTCGGAGTAAGTGTTGTTTGTTTCTATGTCTGCATAACACTAATTTCGTTTTATATTTTTACTTCCTTCAGGTATCTTGTACTATTTTTTTCATTGGAAGGTCCATTTCTGCAGCAACAAGTTTTCTATTCTTCTTATTTCTGGTATTATCTAACTCACACCCACTTTATCAAACACTATGTTAATTTTAAATAAACTAAGTGTTGGCCAGGATGTTAGACGAAACATGCAAACTAAAAATTGTATTGTTTGCATTTAATTCATGTGATTGTTTGGTCGTACTAAACGGTTCGTATTTTAATAGAAAATGATCACACTTTCTTATTTCTTCGTTCATCTTTCAAAGGTTATCCGTTAATAATGAGCCCAGTTCTGAGAAACTATTAAATGAAGAATAAAACGTTACTTTCTGACTTCTTTTATTCAGATCTTATTAAACTTAAATGCGCAATTTCGCATCCAAGTTTAATTATTTTTTAATAGCTTTAAGAAAGTTTACGATTACAAATATATACAAAAGTCGCTAAGCATTCATTAACAGAAAACGTATTTCTTTTTCCGTTAGTGAAAGTGCATATGTGCTAGAGTCTGAGTAAATACTTTGAACAAACTACACATTGTCGTAATAGCGTTTGTGGTATATATGTGTTAGTGTGTGCATTTTTGTAATTATGTTAAAATTTTTACAGTTACAATTGATCCACAGGAGTAGATTACGTGAAAGAAAACGTTATTTAATATTATTAGACGTTATTTTAAACAATGGTATCATTTGTTACATTTCTTGAAGATGTCAGCGAATTGGCAATTTTAAAACAGGAAGAAAATTCGCGGCATTCGTACAACAATAGAATTCATGTGTTATGGTACAATATTTATTTATACGCAACTAAACACTAACATATACGCCTACTTTCGTATACCTACAAAAATATTAAACAAATTATTTAATTTTGACACCTAATTAAAAACCAGACAATTACAATACATGTTAGTAATTAATCTGCAACCTGACTTACTTCTGCTTGCAATAGGAATCGCAAAGCCCGCTCTAATTAGTTCGTCACGTTAATCCTTAGTTATTTATTGTTCCATTATTTGGGATTGTAAACCGAAATAAACACGACATTTGCGAAATATAACATCATTTGCTAATTTGGACTTTTGAAAATCGTAAAAAATACTTTTGTAAATAAAACTAAATCAAATATTAATGTGAAAATTCATTTTCAACTTTTTACCCATTATAAACTATCTGAGCTTAATGAGGGAAAAAGTATTTGCTGTTGTCGCACCCTCGCCGGGAATTGAACCCTGGTCCTTTGGTTTTTACGTACCAATGCTCTGGTCAGTAAGTTATGAGGGATGACAACAGCAACAACGACAAATCATACCTATTAGGTAACAGATCTGTCGAACTAAATTAAATTAAATAATAAAATGTTTCATATGTATATAGTATTAATATAATTACATTAGTTCGACAGATCTGTCACTTTTGAGTACGGTTTGTCGTTATTACTGTTAACATCTGTCGTAGCTTAGTGGTCAGATCACAGGTGTGTAAAGCCAAAGGTCCGGGGATCGTTTCCCGGCGACACAACAAATTTTCCTTCATTGACTTGAGGTAGTTTAGAGTTGGTATATAAATGGAAAATGAATTTTCACATTAATATTTGAAGTATGTGAACACTTACCGGGTGTGAACCTCGTAGTGAATCGACTGAATATACCGATTGCATATTGACCACTGTCATTTCATCAAATAAATTCCATTCAGGATAAATATGATTGATTACAGCGCTTGCCATGTAAGTAGCGAAACCTTCATTCAGCCACAGATCCGACCACCATTTTATGGTAACTAAATTTCCAAACCATTGGTGCGCCATTTCGTGAGCAACAATCGTCGCAATGGCCATTTTATTAGAAAGTGAAGAAAAGTTCGAATCGAATAGCAGCAAACTTTCTCTGAAGGTTATCAATCCCCAGTTTTCCATAGCGCCANTTATTCTTTTATTTAAAACCTCAAAAGTAATTACAGTCCTTTATTTGTTAGTCACAAATAAAAAAATGTATCTCTACTTGTTTTAGTTCAATCGTTGTAAATAAAAGAATAAAAAATTTAGACTAACCAGTAAATACTAATGTTAAAAAAAATCTGTTTCTCGTTAATAAGTTGAGAGCACGATAAAGATAAAAGTGTAACAAGTAAATAAAATAGAACTGCTGCCAATACTTAGCTACATGGCATTAAGAGGTCCAATTAAAAACTGCAAATTTGCTTAAACCTAATTTTCTCTTCGAAATAATTATCTTAATAGAATCGAAATTTACTTAAAACCTTAAAAGTTATTACAGTGGTTTATTTGTAAGTCAGAAATAAAAAATTGCATCTATACTTGTTTTAATTAAGTCATTGAAAATAAAAAAATACAAAATTTAATTACTCAAAAAGGACTCATCATTAGATACAGGGTGCTAACCGTAAATGAATTTTAAAAATACTATAATTATTGAATGCAAAGTAATGAACGCTTTTTGACATCAGTTAATTTATTTAAGTTCTGAAAGGGTAGAAAGGCTTGAAAATCCTTTTTTGTCCCTAAGTTTCGTTTCAAATTAATTTTTAGTTTTCCATAATAACTACTACGTAAATTAATATCAAAATTAGTACTTACTTAAATAAATACAATGCCAAGAAAACTAAATTTCCTGAATTTCGGGAATGTAAGTGGCCTAGCCCGCACCACGAGTCAAGGTAATAGCACGAAGAAGAACAACAACAACAACAGTAACTTCCAGAATGTGTTTGTTGAATTACTTTTTGTCGTGATGATAACACTGAACGCAAAATTGTCAACTCTAGTTGTTTTAAAAGCGCCTGAGTGGTAGGGGGAAGATATGAAATGTATTCTACAATTTCACATTCTGGCACTTTTACACAGGTATACAAACGTACATACGTATTTCACATGTCAATCTGTAGCTACGAAATGTATCTATATCTGCAGCTATCTGTGTAAAACAATTTAATTTTTTTTAGGAAATGCAGTTACTTAAAGTGCTGCCGGTTTCTAATTCATTCAGTCACTAATTAGCTATTGTTTCTCTTCAAATGCAATGTATATTACTTATTGCTAAGGTGGCCCAAGAAGAAAAAGCTTTATTAAATAATGTGTACGCAAATAAAAAAAAACAATTTATGTGTACAAACGATTACTGTTTACTATTGACTCCTCCACAAGGCTGAGAATAAGACAACAGTTTTTGGCGATCCCTTTAATCTAACGCCTGTTGTCAAAATCGTAATCAGCAAGGCTTTGAATAGAATCCTAACTAATTGCGAACGTGATTTGTTTAGTTGAGTCAGGGGTACAGAAAAGAACATAGGGTACCTTTTATCCAGAAAAAAAATACTGTTCCCGATGGATACAAAAATGTGTTTTATGTGGTCGATTTTACGCCTTGACTACTCGATCTACCATCATGAAATTTTGAGGTGTGAATTATATTTTTTTGGTCACGTCTGTCTGAAAATATCACTTATTAATACTTCTTTGAAAACTTCCCTAAACCAACCAAACTTTCAAAATCTTTTGTTAATTCATTTACTAAATGTACGCAATATAGGATATATATAATATATATTGCGCGTTACAAACGAAATGCTTAATTCAATAATATTTTTGCCATTAAAGATAGAGATATCGTTTACCGTTTTAAAATGTAAACGTAAATGTGATAGTTAGTTAAAGATGTCAGATACTAGATACCTAATTAATTATTATATCACACGAAACGTCTTTTTAAACCTGTTTTTATTATTTTAAAGTTGATCGATTGATTTTAAAGTGGCCTAATTTAATTACGGTTATATAAACATTTGAAATTTGTTAAAATGAATTAATTATTATTAAGTACGAGCATCGATGATTTACTAGATAATTTCAATGACTAATAAAACAGCTGTCACATATTTTATGAAGACTTTTCCTTTTATGACATTTATATTACCCATTGAAACGTAACAATAGCAATAAACTAAAATACACTCCTGTAGAAGTTGCCTTTAAAAATATCGGCCTTTGAATTACCTTTAAAACTCTCAATCATCCAATAATAACTACTAAGGATAACATTATTTGTAATTTCTGTAATATATTTTTTCTAACTGAAAATATCATCAGTTTCTCTATAACTGTCGTATACTAGGTAATCGAATTCCAATCTTTTGAGCAAAGCATAATACTTCTGAAATGCTTTATTTACATTTATTAGACTTTAATTACCTTCTTTATTTGTTATAAGAAAAAATGACTGAAGGATCTGTACGAATTTCCCTATACCACGTTGTATTTTTAAGAAAACGATGCGATCATTTTATGATTGCATATAATGTATAGATTCTGTATTCGTCATTCGTACAGTTTCAAATTGAAAAAGACATAAAGGATTAGAGTCTTTGCCAGTTTAACTGAAAGAAACACTGTCATAATCAACACAATCCGCTTTCAGTCTCTAAAATTAACACTAATAAAAAATAAACTTCGATTTATTTTCAAGATTTTCTGATTACCTGCCTACAACTTTCCATAAGAAAACGATAGTTAATTATTAAATGCCCTTTCTTCACCTGCCTACTTATTTTATTGACGTTTTCTAATAAACAACGAAAGTGCTGTCTGCACAATTAACCATTTGCAACCATAATAGCTACAATACATGGTACTTAGTGTTCCAGTATATGATGCTTACTTAAACATGATTTTACTAAATTTTGATTGTAACCCTCATAGGAGTTTAAGTTACTAGATTCGGTTACTATTTATTAATAAAGAATCCCTTAATAATATATGGTATACTCATCATCATCATCATCGTCATAAGGTCGTTAGTCCTAAGACTGGTTGGACACGTACCTCCACTCTTTCCTATCCTGAGATAAATTTCGCATTTCCCTAAAACTAGAACAACCGACATCCTTAACTATTTGCGAACAGTAATCTAATCTAGGTCTACCTCTACCCCTCCTAACTCCTGTTTCTGTCTCTAATATGTCTCTTACTAGACCTTCATGTCTGAAAAGGTGTCCTACTAACCTATCTTGCCTATTTCTTATTGACTTCCATAGAGTCCTCAGTTCTCCTATTCTTTCTAATACCTCTTCATTTCTAACTTTATCCACGATATCCTCATCATTTTCCTTTAACACCACATTTTGAATGCTTCTAGCTTGTTCTTTTCCGCCGCGCTCCAAACATACACCTTTAACAACCTTTTTCGAATTTCTAAATTATAACCGATCGCGGGCATAGAAGTGGCTTCTTTTTATTAAAGTCGACCCGACCCTGCTCAACCCTCTGCTTTATATCCCTACTACTCCTTCCGTCCTGACTTATCTGACTTCCTAGATATCTATAATCAGCCACGTCTTGTAATTTTCTTTATCTTTATATTCGCTCTTTCCCTACTTTTTTTTCCCTTGTATAACAGTATTTTAGTTTTACTACACGGAAAAAACATAGACATATAGAAAAAAGCCTATCAAATATGACAAATAGAATAATAAAACAATAGAATTAGACATTAAATTCGTAAAGCATGATGTAATTTTTTGTTCTTCCACAAATCCCGGCGTTTCTGGCGGATTATTTCGCGCAAATTGTAGGTAATATTCCTTATTGACCTTTCTGCCCTGTGGCAAGGACTCATAACTTGGGGCCCTTTTTTCGGTCTTGGCTCGTGTAGCAGCTTCCATTGGGATGATTGAGCTTTGGTTTCCATGCCATAACCATAAGCCCATGATTCGTCAACAGTTATGACACTCTGGAGCAAATTTGGGCCGCCGCGGACAAGTCCAACAGATCCTTAACAATGTTAATATAAAAAAAAGCCTATCAAATATGTATACATGACTAGAGTAATAAGACAATAGAATTAGACGTTAAATTCATAACTACGGATTTTTTGATATGTTCATGGAAGCAATTAAGGTGGTGCTTATCTCATAGGGAGATTTCCATACTTTGAGGTGAACAGAATGGGAAAAATGGAAAAACACTAAATAATGGGATTTTATAAAGAAAACTGATGGGTTCATGTTTTGTCGTCAAAGTTTATTTTTGTTCACTTTTTTATTATTTCTTTGTTTCTTTCTTTATCTTTGGCGGTTGAACTTGACGTTTGACATGTTCCTTTGAAGTTTAATTTGACTACTGTTTACCTTATTTTACCATCTCAGTGTGTTCAGTAAACGAAATCTAGATGTATGGTTTTAAAAAACATTAAATGTTTATGTAGATTTAAGTTTTCTAATGTATTTAGTTTTATTTTTAAAGTTACCAATAATTAAAATGTATTTAATTGCACTGTTATTTAGAAAATGTGTTGTATCTGTATTTTTTAATAGTAATAATATTGATAGTGATAAATTCTTTTATAAATTGAGCTAATAAAACTGTGTGGAACTATGTTAGAAAGAGATGGGAAAATTCAGTCCAAGTTTATGGGGAAAATGGAATAATCTTCTAAAGTTGTAAGACTTGTTACATAATTGCTATAATTCTAATTGACGATGATGAAGATTTACGCGTGCTTTTTATTAAATATTATTTTCTACCTCTAAACACGAGTACTCGAATCGACAAATAAATTATTATTTTACCAGATTTTATAAATTTTTCTAATATTTCGATCAAACTAGTATTTGTTTTCCATATTTTTTCATTAACAAGTACGTACACTGTAGGCAATATTTGTTTAAACAAACGTGTTGTGTTGGTTGTCGAACTAAAAAGGGAAAAGTTTGCCCACACAAAAATATATGCAAGTATAAATCATTATCCTTACATTTCATTTAATGACTGACTTAATTTGTTGATTATTTATCTTTATGTATTCTGTACTATTCGGTACGTACATTATTTTAATAATGTTTTATGATTTTATAACGGTTAATCAGAAAATTATTCTCTTATAATGTTAATCATTGACGTTTTGATTATGAATTTTAAATTCGCTTACTATTTATGTTCTCTAAACGCTATCCTATAGCAAAATACCTAATAAGAAAAAATAATTTCAAAACAACTTGACGAAACGTATTAAAAATTCAAACAAAACCGCAAAATCACAACAAGGTTAAATGTATATGTAAATGTTATATTTTTAGAATTTTTAAAAAACGTATTACTCATGAACTTTTTATTTTCCGATATTTTACTAACAGGGATATAAAGCAGAGGATAGCGCAGGGTCGAGTCGAGTCGTCTTCAATAAAAAGAAGTCACTTTTATGCTCGCGGACGGTTAATAAAAATTCCAAAGAGGTTGTTCAAGGTATATGTTTGGATCCCGGTATTGTACGTGTGCGAAACATGGGCAGTGGGCACGGCTGAAAAGAAGGGGTTAGAAGCGTTCAAAATGTGGTATTACAGGGGAATGATGAGGATACCGTGGATTGAGAATGTTATAAATGAAGAGGTATTAGAGAGGATAGGAAAACAGAGGACTCTATGGAAGTCAATAAGAAATAGGCGAGATAGGTTGGTAGGAAACCTTCTTAGGCATGAAGAACTGGTCAGAGACAGAAACGAAAGTTAGCAGGGGTGGAGGTGGACCTAGATTAGATTACTGTTCGCAAATAGTTAAGGATGTGGGTAATTCTAGTTTTAAGGAAATGCGAAGATTAGCTCAGGATAGGAAAGAGTGGAGGTGCTTGTCCAACCAGTCTTAGGACTGACGACCTTATGATGATGATGATTTTACTAATAATGCAGAGTTAATTGAGTAAAAAGATCTGGGTTTTTACTCAAATCTTCTCAGAATCATACATTGTCAGGGGT